GCTATAATTCTCATCATCCCAATTGCATCCCTGGTTCCTTTTCCTCTTCTAAATCCAAACTGATCTTCTCCAAGTACATCCTCTATTTTCCTTTCAATTCTTCTTTTAAGTATCTTTGCTATTATCTTTGCTGTATGTGCAATAAGGCTTATTGTGCGATGGTCGCTGCATTTTGTAGCTTTTGTCTTTTTCTTTAAGGCAATCATTGTAACTTCTGTAAAGTCCTTCGGCCACTCTCCAATTTCATATATGGTGTTCATTAGCTTTGTCAGTGTTTTCAAACCACCTTCTCCCAGTAACTTAAGCACATCTCCAGGTACATCATCATCTCCTGTAGCCTTTCCCTTCCTCATGTCCTTGATAGCTTTTTCCACCTCACTTTGTAAAATATATGGTCCTTTCTCATCTGTATCTACTTCTTCTTCCGGTTCAACTTCTAAGGTTTCTGGCCGATTAGGTCGATCATATAGTTCTGTAATATAATTTTCCCAAATTTTCAGCACTTTCCTCTGATCTACTATTCTATTCCCCTGGGAGTCTTCGATGCCAATATTTTGAATCCCATGGTTCTCTTTGCATCCTAGTTCTTTTGTCTTCATGTACATCAAATCATAATGTCCTCTCCTTTGAAATTCTATAATCTCATTACATATCTTCTCAAGATATTCCTTTTTGGACCTGTCCATGGCTCTCTTCAATTCATTCCTCATTCTTCTGTATTTCCTTCTGCCTTCTTCTTTGTGTACATTCTTCCATTTCCTTCGCTCCTCCATTTTACTCATCATCTCCTGTGTAACCCATGGTTTTCTTGCTATTTTCTCAACTTTACCAGACATGAATTATTCTCTCATAAAAGACAAATTGTTAAGGAACTTTTCTGACCCAGAACAAAGAGTTATTTTTATTTTTATTCTTAAAATGGTGTTATGCTTCTAGGCAGTACATAATTAATAATAACAATTATACATAACTAAGGACTGCACCATAGCTCAAGCAGTTAGTTGCTGGCTTCCCACCGCAGCTGCCCAGGTTCAGTCCCAGGTCTAGTGAATTGGGATTTGCGGTGGACAAAGTGGCGCTGGGGCAGGTTTTCTCCGAGTACTTCGGTTTACCCTGCCAATCTTCATTCCACCACTTGCTCCACAATCACCCTCACCTATCATCTGTGGCTGGTACAATAAGCCAGAAGTGGCTGCAGTACAAGGGACTTAGTCCCATCCCACTAGCAATAAAAAAAATACATAACCAACTCATGTTAGCTAATAATTAATTAATGATTTCATGTGCCCCCAGCTCGTATTGGTGGAGGAGCACTGATTGCTGATGTACAAGCTGTGGCACTGAAGGTGGCGCAGATGGCATCACAGCAACAAACAGATGATGAAATTCTGGCAGAGGCTCCTGAGGAGTTCCTTGACCCTATCATGTCCACGCTAATGAGAGACCCTGTCATTCTTCCATCATCACACACTACAGTGGACCGTTCCACAATTGCCAGGTTAGCTATGTTATTTTCTTCCTTTCCATTTTAAATCAGATTTTCTAGTAAAAGTATACTCAAAAACAAGGTAACCCTGTTTTTATCACATTGTAAACATTTGTGAGAATGACTTTTCCATTTTGAGACAAGATGAAGATGAGAATTTGAAAAATTTGTGGTATTAATTGCTGCTAGATTCAGGTTCATCAACATAGTTCTATGTTATGTGACCTGTTTCTGAAGAAGTTTTCATTGGTTTCTGCATATTGAAGCCAGGGATAAAGACTGCACCTGTCCTGTGTCAGCAGTCTTGGAATGAACTTAGCTGAGATTCACCACATCCCCTCATCTTTGCTTAAGTTGCTTGACTTAAGCTGCAAGAAATCCTTACCTGTATGTGACCCAAGGTTTCGGTAAGATGCTGTGTAGAATGTTCATTATTTCATGTTGAGTATTCCTGAAAGCTGAAGTCATACATTAGACTCCAGCTTCAAGAACTTAGGGGCAAAAATTCTTACCTTTTTAGTTATTTTTGTAGGAAGTCGGTCATTACACAAAGTCATGTGTATTGTTTATACTCATTGATGGTCATCCCAGAACTCCTTGAAAAGGATATTTGTACCGCTTTAAAAAAAAACTGCTCAACTCACTTTTCATTCTCCAAATGCTATTTCTATGCATTGATAAGTTTTGGTTGCTTTGTTTCAAATCTTCTTGAAAAATGTAATGCACATGCATTTTTCTGTACCCACATTAAAGAATAAGTAAACTTTGTCCTGTGCATAATTAAGCACTGTGCCATGATAAGGTATGAGAGGGTGTGCATGTAGCTCCATGTATTCTTCACCAAAGCAATAGGTTGGATGAGTAGTCAGTTTCATGCCCCAGCCATTTTACCCCTGTGGCAATAGGCCCCAGTACCCATACAATGGCCGGAGGGGTCCCACAGCCAGTCTGGATGCCATGCAGAAAAGAAGACTTTTTTTGTCCCTTGCAGGGAATCGAACTGTGGTTCCTCAGTCCAGCTTGTAGCTACACCGGGTGAGCTATCACAGCTCTTTTCTGTACTCAGGCATTACTAAATTAACAAAAAACGAGACTTACTATACTACAATTACTGACTGTTTGGACATTATCATCCTGTTTTCTTTTATTTAAAACAGTGTTTTGGAGACTGAAAATCTGCCTCCATCTTCAAATAAAAAGCCCACTCAGTTGGCCCTAATCGATAGAGCTAGTCCCTCTTTCCAGAGATTGGGCCTAACTGAGTAACCTTTTTATCTGGGGATGGAACCAGAGTCCAGTTTCTGAAGTATTTTTATTATAAAAAACAGGACAATAGATAATGTCCAAAAAGTTATCATGAGCTGCTAATGGTTTTCTTGCTTTACTTTTTCTGTTACTGTAAAGGCTCATGAATGACTGAAACAATGGAATAAGCTCTGAACATGGCTGGACATGCATTAACATGTCAGGACACATGTATCTCGGCTGTGGCTCTATGTAGTACAGTTTACTTCAGATGTTAAATTAATTAAGTCTTGATGCTTCTTGACCATACCTCATGTTTATGTGCTTCGTATGATTGCTGAATAATGATGTATGTATTTCAGGCATTTGCTTAGTGACCAAACAGACCCATTCAATCGCTCTGCACTGACCATGGATATGGTGAAACCACATGATGAACTTAGGCTGCAGATTGAAGCGTGGATCAAAGAAAAGAAGCAACAACGCCAAACACAGGCTTCAGATAGTAACCTGTGAACAATTTGTTAACAGTGAACCATCCACTGATTCACTGTTGGTGATATTAATTCTATTGGGATATTCTTCCATTACTCTGTTTTAATTACATATTCTTTTTGTGTCTGTTTTCTTTATTGTCACTTTTAAAATAGTACGCTATGAAGGGTCGTTTGTCAGGTACAGATAGCTGCTGACTTTTTTATTGCGTAGGATGGGGTGAGACTGGCGCCCCTTGTTAGAGAAGCCACTGGTGGGCTCATTGTAGGAGCCCCAGGTGATGGATGAATGTGGAGCAGTCGGTGAAATGAGAATTGAAAGGAAACTGAAGTACTAGTAAACCTGCCCCAGTGCCACTTTCTCCACCACAGATCCCACATCAACTGCTCTTGAACTGAACCTGAGCCACTGCAGTGGGAAGCTTGTGAAAAAATCACTGGAGCTGTAGCACAGCTGCTGGTAAAATACACTACATTTTAGGCAAGTCCTATTGAAAAAATACATGGACTTCAGTTTCTACATTTGTAAAACGTGATGCTGGAATTTAAATTTCCTGATGTGCAGTAGAATCTTGATTATCCATAGGTGGAGTATCTGCCTTGAAGATTAATTTTAGAAGATTAGTTATTGATTATAGCTTTCTATAATGATGTGTTTCCTATTGCATCTCATTCAGTAATATTTATGAGTGATGTTTTACAGTGGTTTGCAGTAGACTGTACGTCTTGTTACCTTGTTGCTGCCTTCTGTTTTATTACTCATTGCTAAAAGGCATCCGGCACATAAGGCTGACAACCTCAAAGTCATCTGGGAGCCTCGACATCTCACGACCCTATCGTCCTTCACAGCCTGTAACAAGGATAGCTTTACCTTTTATGCCTTTTTCTTTCATCCTGCCTGCAATCACTAAACAAGTGTTGCTTTCTGCTACTGTGAAGATATTTTCCTTAACTGTTTGGCAGGATTCACACTAAAGCAACTAGAAACAAGCATCAACAGGTGATAAGCAGCCAGCAGTTCTTAGTATCATATTGCTTGCATAGTCACACCAAGGAAATCGAAACATGTGTTAGTTTATGAACTTGCCGGTGAATGAAATGGTCATTGCATACAAAATTCTGCAGAAAATGCAGACTAGCAAAATGGGAGGTTAAGGATCTGTGGGTGCACTCATTATACAGGGTGATATTGTCGGGTTTCCCTGACAATAATTTAGAATCACCTTCTACATTAGTAATTAATGTCTGCAACTCTTTTCCATACTTTTGAAAAACATCCTGTATTGAGTAATTTGGACTGCAATAATGATAGAGACATTGATGCAATTGTGTGCTTTGTGTGAACACATTCTTTTGCCGTATTTCTGAACCATAATTACTCTGGCATATTTGTTCAAAGCAAGAACTGTGGACCCAGAGAAACAGCCATTGCTAGTGAACAGCTCTGAAACAATGTTTCTAGGCAATGACTGCAAAACAAACAGCGGAACAATGGTCGTTGCTATGCAGCAGATTTTTAATAAGCAAGTGTAGACTGCTGCTAGGGAATGGTTCGGTAAACAAGTTTGTGCAGCAAGGGATATGTATGTGGCAGAGGAACTGTTTTCTGTGTGGTCCATGCTTAGATGTTATAAGCAAGGAACAAGGTTAAGGCTTGGTCAGTTAGTCTGTGAAGAGAAGACTAAATTGAATCAAAAATGCTTAGTTGGAAGGGAGCTGCCATTCAGAGAGGACTTGAGCCTTGGAGCAGAGGGGTAGCCACTGTTAGAAGCTGTTACCAGGAAGCTGCTAGTCAAGACACTGCAGGCTAGTGAAGACTTAGTGTGTGCTCTAGTGAAATGTAAAATGTGGAAATTAGTGATGGCGCTGTAATTAAGTGTAATTACCAGTTGTGGATTTACATGGTCAATAAACCCAATATCCAGTCCAAAACCCCATCAAGAGTCACACACACACACACAGGACATTATTATCTATTGCAGTGTTCACCTCATTACATGTGGTTGTGCAAAATGACTTACTGGTTGATGTGGACGGAACGCTGTTTACATAAGCAGTTACAACTAAGATTACTGGACAGTAGAGAAAATAAGCTGTTTGTGATCTACATCATATATCGCTTCAAGGTATTTCCAATTGTGATGATGATGATGATGTTTTTCCAGTGTGAATGGGCATCATGAAAATGGATTCAGTTCCTAAAAATGATATGCAGTTTGTAGGTAGTTGCTAGTTGCTTGTTGTATGTCATTAGTTACTTTGGTGTGAATCATGCATTTAATGACAAGTAGCACATCCTGCGGACTCTACAGTTAAACAGTTCACTACAGTTTTAAATTTATTCAGACTTTATTGGTTTTAATAATATACTTAGTTAAACAGTGACAATGTAAATGTTGCTTTTGTTTTCAGATTTTAGTGGTATATTGTTCCTTATCCTTTCATATTTACTTCGGTTCAATTTTTCTCTTTTGTTTCTTCTTGAATTTAGTCAACACATCAACTTTTCTTTATTCTTGTTTATATATATTGTAACGTGTTCACGTTACTGAATACGCCGTAGAGATCGTTAACTGGTTTATTGAACAATCTACAACTATCGGCTACACTTAATTATCACAACGTTACGGGTTTCCACACTTTACAAACCCTACCACACAATCTCTTAACACAATCTTCACTTGTCTTCACGTACTGATAACGCGGGAGCTATACAAGTCTCCCTGAAATACACACTCCGAGTATAACTGTACTACAGCAATCACTATGTCTGGAAAGCACACAATAAGTCTTCCGCTCGCTGACTTCTTAGTTATCGCACACTCGCAGGCTGCTATGTTTCAACTGAACTGTGAATAGCCTTCGCTGCTCCCTATGTAGCCTCGATCGGACAATACGGCCACGTAATAGGCACCCTTGTTGCTAGTGTGACGTGGCGTATAGCATAGGACGCTGTTGCTAGCGTGACGTCACCGCTGTTGATTAGCATTGCGTAGTTGCCAGGTTACGGGGCTCGGCTATCTTCGGCTCCGCTCGGCTCTCTTCGGCTCCGCTTGTGACGTCACCGCGCGTTGCGCATTGCGGGGTTACCGCTGAGGGGTGGGAGGGGAGCGCTGACTCACCCGCCGCGTCACTGCTGGTGTGGGGGGGGCTCGGATTTCGCAACATGTCACAATATTTATGTTTAAAACTGATGTGTAATTTATATAAGTGTAATGAAGTTCCAGGACATTGGGAGAAAAGCTAGAAAAATGTGATTTTTCAGGGTTGAATGCAGTGTGGATAGTGGATATGTCTAGGTTTTGGATTATCCAATGTTTTTAATAGTCCATGCCACTTCTTCCCTCTGTTACCATAGATAATTGAAAGATCACTGTGTTAGTAATTCAACATTCTAGTATCAAAGAATTCTATATAAGTGACTTTCAATAAATATGAGGGTCAGCATCTGATCATCATGTGATTAGGATTATGTATGTTTTGAATTTGTTGAAATACCATCATCCATGAGGATGTTTGTAGCTGTAAAAGTGATTGAGTCATGATTTTTGGCATGTTGCCTATCACTCTTTAAATTCAAGGACATACAACTGTACATATAAGTTGTAGAAAATGCTGGTCAGCCTATACTACTGGAAAACCTTTACAGTGAGCAGTGTTTTCAAATTTCAATGAAAAGTAACTTTTAGAAATTTAGTTTTTTAATTTCTACTCTCACTGCATGACATAAATCAGGTTTTCCTTATTGTTGGTACTGGATGTGACTAGTGAAACTGTTTTCTCAAAAAATGGCGTGTTGTATAACTTAAAATGTTAATCTTGTTGACCTCTGTAAGTTATGTTTCAGTTGTTTTTCAAGCCAGTGGATACACTAATTAAGGCACTATATAAACATGTGAAAAGTTTGAAGTGCTTATATTCTCACACCGTTTACTTCAGAAGTAACACTGTTGAGTTTGCGAAGGTAAAAAGTGACCATAGAACAATAAAATATGTCTTACATTTGTATTATTTAGTAGCTACAAGTACCATTTTAGGGAATTTAAGTGTCTTATGCCCATGTCTTGATGTGAGTTGTGCATGCCTGTGTGCCACTCATCCACGTTTTCATTCCATATCTGCAGAAAACAGATTTTATTTTTCTGTTTTTTGGTTCAATTCCCCCCCCCCCCCCAAATGTAATTTTATGTTTCGTAGTTGTAAATCCAGGAAGCTACAGAGAGCTTACTGTAATAAAGATTGGGAAGGGCAGTAGATACCAGATTGCGGCAAATAATGAGGGTAGCAGAAGCCTCTTTATGGTATTGTGACTAGGCTTAGAGTGTGATGTGAGATTATTTCTGGTCTTGTTGGACAAAGCATTGAAACCATGGTGAAATTAGCCACAGGGGTTTTAATGTTAAAGAATTTTTAGCTGTTGCGGCTGGAGCCTGTCTCCAAGCCAGAGGTCACCAGAAGTTGGGTCATCTGAGGCACTTGGAATACAGCTTCTCAAAGTAACACAAGTTGACCAACATTATAGAAGCCCGGATTGGTCATAAGTGCATTTGAAGTGAGTTGGCTAGCAGAGACATGCATAAGAGTAGGCAGAGAAATTGCTGATGAGGAAGGTAACTGATTGAGATATGATATGTGAGACATGAGGCAGATTTGGAGTATTTTCAAAATAATTATATATAATGGAATATTTCAAAATTGTGTATTTTTAGTTTTGTGTATATAAATGTACATTATAATGAAGAGATTGTCATGTCATGTTTGTTTGCTATTTACCAAGATGCAATTCCAAACCTTATTTCAGGACGCTTGAGGCTAAATGTTCAGAGTTGATTCTAATCAGGTGGGAGAGATCGGATGTAAGGAAACGCATGTCCAAAGATTTCCCATCTGCTTGTAATACTAAAAGTAATGACGTACCATACCATGAAAATATGTACATCATAGATTATGGCAGTGCTTGAGGTGGAATGAAAATAGAACTGGGATGGTTTAATTCATTTACTGCCAAAGAAGTAACGGGATGCTTTTAAGCCATTTAGAAAAGAACCGGGATGCCAACCCGCCCCACCTCAAGCCGTGGATTATGGTTTATATTAAAGTGGATAAATCAGGTGTACTATGTGTCATGCACAACCCTACTTATACTACATATTTGAGCCATTAGTGGTATGTGTATGGCTCTGTCAATAAAAGCCACCTATCTCTGCGCATTTTTCTTCTGTTTAGGCCCATTAAAGGTGTCCTTGTAGAGAAATGTACGACTACGCTTGATACAGGAAAACAGTCTGTTATTGGTGTTTTCAGATAGGATAGACTGGGACAGACTACTGCTTCAAATATGACGTTGCAGAAAATTGTGGAATGAAGGCTGAGATAAGAAGAAAGCAGTCTTCTGGGATTTGGCAGACTGCTTTTACCGGTTCTCACGGTCTCTTCGCTTGCAGATTTCTTATATTTTTTCTTCTACCCTGAAGATGGAGGCGATACGTTCCTCCGAAACGTCGGTTAACACCACATATACACGGTGCCAAATCCCAGAAGACTGCTTGTAGAGAAATGTACAACTACGCTTGATACAGGAAAACAGTCTGTCATTGGTGTTTTCAGATAGGATAGACTGGGACAGACTACTGCTTCAAATATGACGTTGCAGAAAATTGTGAAATGAAGGCTGAGATAAGAAGAAAGCAGTCTTCTGGGATTTGGCATACTGCTTTTATCGGTTCTCACGGTCTCTTCGCTTGCAGTTTCTTATATTTTTTCTTCTACCCTGAAGATGGAGGCGATACGTTCCTCCGAAACGTCGGTTAACACCACATATACACGGTGCCAAATCCCAGAAGACTGCTTTCTTCATAGTCACCGCCGTGAAAGCCCCAAATCTTACAAGGCTGAGATAAGTTTTGATACTGAGAAGTATATGAAATGTTGCAGTAACCAAACAGTCGTTTACGAAAGTTGCTGGATACCAATAGTAGTAGAACTAGGAGCTGCATTGTGCGTTGTATGGCTCAAATTAGCGACTATGCGGCATTATCGTGCATAATTATAATTACTTGCGTGCGTAACTCTAGCAACTCTGCGGGTAGATGTCGCTAATGCACTTTGGTGCCCGTCGCTATTCTGCCGACAATTAGCACGTGATCCGTGATAATGATCCATGGTTCACAACGACGCACAAGATGGCTGTGTAGTTGCTAAAGTTAATGAATTCAAGAAGGTTGTTTGGATTGGGATAGTATGTACACCCTCCTCAATGGCTTGTACAAATATTTTGTTCAGAAGGACGAATTCTGTGTTTTAATATTAGGTTTGGACAATGCTGGGAAAACAGTGAGTAGTTCTTGTGTGCACTTAACCATAATTCAACTATGTAATATTTGAGGTTGTGACTGCGGCGAAGATAAAGATTATTATTCAGCATTTCGGAGAACCCAGTTGTTGCCATCTTCACGACCGAAGAATGTAGATGGAGACTGCATGTGCCTCTGAAATGTTGGTACCTTCGTTGCATCCCAGAAGTTTGTTTAGGAGGAACCAGTTTCTTCCATCTTCACGTTAGAAGAGTGAAGATTGAGGCTGTTCCTCCAAAACGTTGATATTTACCAGACCACGCAGCGTTGCATCCGAGAAGTTCAGCATATTCTCTGTATGTATGTAAGAACGCAACGTATAAAAATTTTGTCATTGTATACTTATTTTTCAGACATATCTGGAGGCAGCGAAGACCAAGTTTACAAAAAACTACAAGGGAATGAACCCAAGCAAAATTACGACTACAGTGGGATTGAACATAGGCAAGATTGATATTGCTGGAATCCGTCTCAACTTTTGGGATCTGGGTGGGCAAGAGGAATTGCAATCTTTATGGGATAAAGTAAGATTTTGTTTTTTTTTTTGTTTTTGACTGCTTATATCTTAATTTCATTAGCTTAGGTCGTTTATCCAAAGAATCCGTCCAGGTCTGAGGCTTTGTGTTCATTTTCGTAACATAATGATTTTTGACGGTGAGGAGTTGTTAGCCCCACACCCAACCCCCAAGCTGGAGGGCCACCCCTTGTCGGCTGTCTGCGACTGCTTATTCAATATATTCGCAGCTTCCCTCCAAAACTGGAGGGCGTCTCCTCCATCCGCAACCTGAGGACGCGACATGCCGTGGTGGCGGACCCACCTAACCTTCTGTCTTCTTGTCTGTTGTCAAAAAACATAAAAATTAGAATATACAAAACTATAATTTTGCCTGTAGTTCTGTATGGGTTTGAAACTTGGTCTCTGACATTAAGGGAGGAACATAGACTGAGGGTGTTGAGGAGAATATTTGGACCAAAGAGGGATGAAGTGAGAGGAGGTTGGAGAAAACTGCATAATGAAGAGCTTCATAACTTATACTCTTCTCCAAGTATAATTAGAATGATCAAGTGGAGGAGGATAAGGTGGGCAGGTCATGTAGCACAAATGGGGGAGACGAATGCGTATGGGATATTGGTTGGAAAGCCAGAAGGAAAGAGACCACAGGGAAGACCAAGGCATAGGTGGGTGGACAATATTAGAATGGATCTTAGAGAGATAGGTTGGGATGGTATGGATTGGATAGATCTGGCTCAGGATAGGGACCAGTGGAGGGCTCTTGTGAACACGGTAATGAACCTTCGGGTTCCATAAAATGCTGGGAAGTTCTTGAGTAGCTGCAAAATTGGCGGCTCCTCCAGAAGGGCTCAGCTCCAAGAGTAAGTAAGTAAGTATATATCTTAATTTAGAGTGTCGTTATTTTTCAGGCAGTTAAATAGGTTTCAAACTGCACAATATGAATTATGCTTATAAATTTGTCATATTATACTTCATAGAGAGAAAGGTATTCATCATGTAGTCACAGTGTTAACTTACATGCTTGTAATTGTAATATAAGATTTGGAAAGGAGGTCATGAACTTGAATGGGCATCTAGGAAAAGGTATGAAGGCCTAAACTAACTGTGAGGGGAGTTTTGTTTTGTCATAAATATATCTTGGGAAGCACTGGATTTAATTTCCCCCCTTTTCCACTTTTCTTCCTTTTCCTACAGCTTGGCTCTTTGTGATATTCTGGACAGTTACAGGTGGCTAAATCTTTCAGTTGTGGTGAGTTTATGAAACTGGAAGATTACAATTTATAAATTACAGTTTTGCTATTGTACATATTGTATAGTTTGCTTATACAGTACAATCTTGGTAATCCAACATATATGGGAGCAAGGTACCACCGGACTACCGAAAACGACACATTACTGGAAAAGACATTAATCTTTTTCCTATTTTTCCTGATATTGTATATTTTAGCATGTCCAACACCATACTCTTTAGCCAAATTAACAAGTTTTTCACCTGTCAAAGTTTCTTAAATATTTCTGCTTTACCACTTAAAGTTTTATGTTTATGTTTGTCAGAACCGGATATATTCACCACACATTATATCCACCGCTGTATGAAAAGTACTGTACAGGAATGTATAGCACTGAAGAACTGAAATACTTTGTACTAGCGAGGGTCTAAATAAATCAGTTTGTCAAGCTCGACTGAACAGAAGTCAGTTTCTGCTGCCTGTAGAAACCTGCACAAGGTCGCGTACGTCTGTTTGGTGCCTAATGCTGGATTACTGGATGTGTCGGACTAGTGCACAACCAGATTACCAAGCTTGTACTGTAATAATAAAGGTATTGAAGTGAGAGTACATGAGTGAATAAATCTCTCAGTAGCATAGCATGCCTAAACTAAAGTTATTGGTGTTTGAGCATCCATGCATTCTTTAACATTGTAATTAAATGGACATGAGTAGTTAGTTTGTTGTTTGGATTATTAACTTGTGATTTTGTTAGAAGACGTATGTGAATACCATCAAGTGTGTTCAGTTTTTTATTTATATTGTCACGATTTAGAGTGACTCTTGGCAGGGTTTTGGAATGGAGATTGGATTTATTGATTGATTGTAACTATAAGTAACTATAACAGTCTCATAGAATTACATATTCTAAAGATCACTGTAACTACGGCACACATAATGTCTTCTCAGTCTTCACTAGTCGATTTCTGCTAACATATTTTAACACTACTCTCTTATGTTTATACTGTCTGGCACATATCCCACAACTACTATTTTTTTTATTGGTGGTGGGGTGGGACTGAGTCCCTTTTACTGCAGCTACTTCTGGCCTACTGTACCAGCCCCAGATGATATGTGAGGGTGATTGTGGAGCAGTTGGTGGAATGAAGATTGGCAGAGGAAACTTGGAGAAAACCTGCCCCAGCGCCACTTTGTCCACCACAAATCCTACTTGACCAGACCCGGGATTGAACCCGGGCCGCCGTGGTGGGAAGCCAGCGACTAACCACTTGAGCTATGGCATGGTCCCACAACTACTAACTGCACTAACTAACTAACATAGATTTTGCCTCCTTCCTAGAAATATAATGTAAAAATAATACAGAAATATTAAGTACGTGTATTTTTCCAAACTAACTATAGATCTCACTTCACCTGTGTCAAAGCCATGGAAAGAAAGTTGGCACTAACTTCGCCAACAAACAGTGGTCGCTTGGTCGGTATAGTTTGCTTGTGGACTAAAACCACAGAGTTTTTTTAACTAACTGCACCGACTAAGTCGTCTCATCACAGACTTCCTCACAATTCTCTCAATGCTTCAGTTGACTAAGCCCCATGCTGACAGCCTATTTCATGCCAACCACATAGTCTTCTCTTCACAGACTGACTTTCAACTGACTAAGCTCTAAACTTTGTCCTGCTTATAACCCCTTGGCACAGAACATGTAGCAAACACAGTTATTCTGTTGCTGCAGATGTGTTTACCGTGCTGCTGTGTAGCAACGCCCGCAGCGTGGACCACAGAGAACACTACTTTCAGCAGTTCCTCTGTTGTTTCATGTTGATTTGTTGCCGTGGAAACCTGTTTGTTTGCAATCACTACCTAGTAACAGGTCTATGTGCTGCAGTATATAACATGAAGCCCAGCATATTTCATCCTCAAACAGCTGTCTTCACAATGTTAAAAGGAAGCTTTATATAACTGTACATTTATTATTTAAACATTTTATACCCATGTAATGTGATATAGGACCATATAAGCCTCTTATAACATCTGTAAATACACGTATAACATAATATTAGCAATTTTTAATGAATTGGATGTTTTATATACCAAGTTATCAGTTTAACTATACTAGATTTTGTCAGAATCTTACATATTTGATTATGTCTTGAGCTGACTAAATATCAATGATGTATATGCTCATGTGGTTGCATGGCTCTAGTAGCACATGCATGTTGCCAGGGGCAGAATTTCATGAGAGTCAGTACTGTTTCAAAGAGACTTACGTTTTTCTTAAAATTTTTGTTCCTGTTTTTATATTTTGTGTTTGTGTAGATATGTAAATAGCACAAATGCGGGAGATGAATGCGTATAGGATAATGGTGGGAAAACCAGAAGGAAAGAGACCACTGGGAGGACCAAGGCATAGGTGGGTGGACAATATTAAAATGGATCTTAGAGGGATGGTATGGATTGGATTGATCTGGCTCAGGATACGGACCAGCTGAGGGCTCTTGTGAACACAGTAATGAACCTTCAGGTTCCATAAAATGCTGGGAAATTCTTGACTAGCTGCAGAATTGGCGGTTCCCCCAGAAGGTTTCAGCTCCATGAGTAAGTAAGTAAGTAATTAATTAGATGTGTAAACATTTTCTTCATTTATTCTCTATTGGTGAATATCATTTAATATAAGACAGAAATTAATAAAAAAAATACAAATTTGACAGTGTAAGAGATATATGTGGTCCTATTTAATGTGAACACAACCCCCTGCATTACACCAGATAAGATACGAAAGCCTTACCTCTGCACCCTATTGGCATCTGCATTATATAACTTTAAAATGTTAGTGATATTTGTGATCACACCTATTTTAAATTGATAATGTAGGAAACAATTTTAGTTCATGTAATATTATATAAAGTTTTCTTTTAGCATGGGACCCCCCCCTCCCCCCTCCCTGAAGATGGCTGATTGAGGCCGAAACAGGCTTAGTTTTATAATTATTTATTAATTAAACTTTGGATACACTTGACACTATTCTTGTTTTTATTCTAATGTAAATAATGTATCTTCAGTAAAAATTTCCATCAAATTTGATGTTTATTTTGTTACAGTATTATGCAGAGTCTCATGCTTTGATCTATATTGTGGATTCATCAGACAGGGATCGTATACCAGACTCAAAGGAAGCCTTTGGTATGCACATTTTTTAAATTTTTGTGTATTTTTTCATGGGCCTTTCCACTTTATTATTATTGTTGTTTTTGTTATGTGATTACAGTTTGTCAAAATTATGTTGCAATGTTTGAGAGAGTGGGAGAAGTCCAAAACAGTATCTGCACAGTGCAAGTAGATAGGAATTGTGGGAGGACCAGCAAATAGGAATCACATTTAAATCTGTTGAGTACTTTTCTGACATAGAACAGTCAGATAAATAAACTAATCGGCCAGAAACCTTGGAAGTGGAACCAGAAGAAGAAGTAGATACAGACGAGAAACGACCATATATTTTACAAAGTGAGGTGGAAAAAGCTATCAAGGACATGAGGAATGGAAAGGCTACAGGAGATGATGATGTACCTGGAGATGTGCTTAAGTTACTGGGAGAAGGTGGTTTGAAAACACTGACAAAA